ATTTTGGCGGTTTCAGGTGGCCGCTTGCTCGTTTGCCACCTTGTGTTATAAAAAAAAATGACAAAATTACCGTTACCATAATAACCTAGCTTCCTGGATGTTGGTAGCTTGTAGTTTATGGTCCCTTTCCCACATGAGGGGTATTTTTCCAATTTATTTACCCCCTAAGTTTAATAGCGTCAAAGTATATAGCTTAAAGCCTAAAGCGTGTCGTAAGTGTAGGGCAAAAGCCCTACACTTACGACCCACCCAAAATAAAAATATTAACATACGAATTATTCAAGAACATGCTGTGATTGTGATCTCACGCCAGAATGTAGTGTGTGTTTACGCTTTATTTTATTAGTACAGATTAGAATAAAATTGACTCCTAAGTTATAATATAGGTTACTTGGAGAATCCATTAAAGATTTCGTCACCAGAAACAATACCACTTACAACACAGTAGCGTGCATTGTATTTATTTAAATTCTCTTTTGAACTATATGTGATTAGATTCCACTAAGATCAGTTGTTGTTATAATGTCTGGAAAAGTAGACATACAACCGGGTTCGTCTATTAGTGAAATTTTACGTGGATTGGAGAAACAATTAGGTTTTAAAAATGAAATAAAATGGTCAACTGCAATTCCTATAGTTCTGTATCACGTATTAGCTGTGTATTGGTGCTATCATTATGCTTTCCCTGTGAAATGGCAGACGCTGCTTTTCGGTAAACGCTTCCTTATATTAACAAATATAAACAAATCTTACTAATGTAATAAATGTGAAAGTTTATGGACGGTTTTTTTTTATAATATAAGGTGGCAAACCAGCAAGCGGCCACCTGAATCCACCGAAGTGGAAAGCATTTGCTGATGCGTTGCCTACCCTTAATTGACAGAGAAGGAGACACACATAAAATGGACATTTCCCCTTGCTATGCGTCTTATCCATCGTCAAATCCACTTTTCTTTCCCATCATTTCCTCTTGAGAAAAGGGTGGAAAGGGAAAAAGACTAAAATTAGGCCTCCGTAATGAATGGATGAATGTTTGTAAGAGTTTGTAGACTAAACTGCTAAACGGTTCTCGATATAATTAGCCATAGATGTAGAGAGATCGGCTGCACATAGGCTACTTACTTTGTTTTTATTTACATTTCTACGCGGATGGAAACGCAGGCGAAATCTCGTAAATCGATAAAAGTTAAGAGCTTCAGTAATAAGATGTTGACACATTTTTTTTTAATAATTAATTTTCTCATATTGACCAGAAACTAATACAATTTCAGCTATAGTAATGTACGTTTTGAGTGGATACGGCATCACGGGCGGAGCTCACCGGCTGTGGACGCACAAGTCATATAAGGCTACGTTGCCGCTCAAACTCTTCTATCTGGTCTGCTTCGCTGCTGCTGGACAGGTAAACAGTGTTAGCTCCAGCAAACGAAAGATGATTAGTAGTATCTTGCTTATTTAAAAAACTCTTCCACAGAACTCCTTGTACCAATGGGTGCGCGATCACCGCGTTCACCATAAGTACAGCGACACGGAGGCTGACCCGCACAACGCTAACCGTGGCTTGTTCTTCTCGCACATTGGCTGGCTCATGATGAAGAAGAACTCGCAAGTGCAACAGCGAGGCAAGGAGATGGACATGAGCGATATAGCAGCTGATCCAATACTTAGATTTTATAACAAGTAAGCAAATTATAGTCAAATTAACACGGTCACTCTGTAACAGACCGATATTGGCCTGACGCGGATCTTAAGAAGATAATTATGCTCCTCTCGCTAGTGTGAAACGATTATCTTTTTTTTTTTTTTTAATTCATTTCAACGAAAACATTTTTACATAGTGGTGTTCTTAGGTGTATACATTACATTACGTAAAATATATATATTATGTTTCCACAAAGTTATAGCAATTTAATCTATCCTAGTGCTGGTGGGTCTAGAAAGACCTACCACGCACTGGCAGAAATATAATTGGGGGCGCATTTTGGCCTGCCACCCCATAAGATGAAGAATTTAGATTTCACTTGCCGTAAGTACACGCGTTAACACTTTTTTGAATTGTGTATTGATTCAATGGAAACTAAGCGAAAATTAAAATCAGACTGCTCTACTCTAGATTTGATACGTGCTGTAAATTTAGCTGCTAAATGATTAGCTGCAATCAACTAAATCCATTGCAAATTCTTATTGAAATGGGTTCCTTTATGTGTCCTGTTGCCTTTAGCTGTAGTAAGTTTTTTCTGCATTTAATTTATTTCCTGTTCATTTACTTACAGATACTTTAATTACTTTAAGCTGATGTTCTGCTACA